GCACACAGCCACTCTCCCTCTCTGGGTCTAAAGTCCCCAACTGCACCATCTCTCCACATCATTGTCTCTGCCTCCATCTCTGGCATCACTGCTTCTCTGGATAGGGTCCCGCTCTCCATTCTTCTCCATTGATGGTCCCAGGATCCTCCGCTCCTAGACTGAAAAGTTAATCACTCCCCTCCTTGCTACAAAATGTTCACCTTTACATTTCCAACCCTCATAATCAGCCCTGATAACAGTTATTCATTATTGCATCACAAGAGACCCATCTGCATTTCATTTCATCAGCCCTTACTGGACAGGCTGGATACTATTCACTGGAGGTTCCACCTTCCTCCACGCCTTCTGAATCTAGGTTACCTCTTGAAAGCTTGTAAGCCAGTCACTTCTTGCCTTTGTATCCCCCCCTCCCCCATTTTGAGTAGCCAATGTTCAAGTTGCCCATCCCTGTCTACTCTTTGTGTGGAGGGGGTAGGGATTTATTTTGACTGTCTCTTCGGAAACCCTATATAGGGTTGCCATGGGTCAGAACCCACTCAACAGCACTTAACAACAACAACAATCCTGGTTTTGTCTATTTACATATAAATTAGAACTTCTTTGCTTGCCACACCCTATCTCTAGGAAGTCAATATGAGTCTGGGATTATAATTTAGGCAACTCAGCTCTGGTAGCATAGTGGTTACAAGTTGGGCTGCTAACCCTCAAGGTCAGCAGTCCAAAACTACCATCTGTTCTGTGGGGAAAAAGCTGAGGTTTTCTGCTCCTGTAAAGAAGTATAGCCTCAAACCCTATGCAGGGTCACTATGAGTCAGAACAGACTCCACGGCACACCATCACTACTGGATTAGTATTGACAAGCAGATTACTGAAGGAGCTCTTGCTGGTTTGTAAAACAGAAAATGAATCTTTTGTTTGTTTTTTTAAGTGATCTCTTTGGTATTAACCTGTGTTTACCAGTAATTTTCAGTATGAATTCATTGGGAAAAGTAGGTTTGTTTTTATATGTGGGCAGTGGTATGTTCCTTAGAGGGGTCTTCTATTTATTTTTTTCTGGTGTAGAAAAAAAATACTGAAAAGAACAGCAATCCTGGGAATTTTCCAAAGCCAGTTTCCTTGCATTTGGTGTGGCATTACTGAGTGTTCTCAGTGTCTCCTCCGCAGGCCTCGGCACGATCATTAGCCGCAGAGGGAAGGTTTGGGCCAAGATAAAAGGGATGGCAATTCTAAGTGAAATTTAAGCATCGCTTCCAGACTTTTAAAAATGACTTTTAACAAATTCATCATAATTTATGTTTGTTGTTAGAAGAGAGAGAAGCGACTACTCACTGGGAAAGTCTAGGTTCTGTGGGTGTTAGTG